CTGGAGAAGGCAGGCGGCAGTTGCCCTCTTGGAATGGGCGGAGAACAAAACAAGGCAAGAACAAAAACACAAATCAATACTTCAATAAATTATCTTGCCGCAGCAGCAAGATCACTCTGGCTGCCAAGAGGGGTTGGGAAGCCCAGCCTCAGGGAGGAGAGAGGGGATCGGCCAGAGGCTCCAGTCTGCAGGGGCGTGGAGAAGGGGCCGTCCCCTCGAGGGCCTTTATTCAACTGGGGACCTGGGGCGTGTGTTTTGTTTTGTCCACAGAATTGATTTTAATTCGAGCCAATGTTACTATCAGGGCGGCGTCCTTGTAAACTCCAGGTGTAGTGATTGACCCGAGAGGTCCCGTCTGGCAGCCCCAGGCCTCCGTTCTGCGGGCTCTGAGCGGACGCTGCCTCTCCTGAGCGCGGCCCTGGGTTTGCGCGGCCCTTGCCACGCCTCAGCACCTGCCGGCTTTCTTCAGTATCGTAGGGAAATACTCCTCGGTACCTCCGCCCTTCGAAACCAACCTGCCTCACCGACTGTGTCACCTGCCTTGCCCCTGCAGGCACTTGGTTTGTAGCATCCTCCCCGCACGCCCCGCGGTCTGCCCGCCAAGGACAGCGGGCCTCTCGGCACAGCCCCGCTGGCGCGCCCCCTCCCTGGGTCAGCCTGGCGCCTGCCCTTGGCTCTGTTCCCTGCCTTGTTCCCGTTTCTGGTCCTGGCACTGGGGTGCGTCTTTATGGCTGGACTCGCACCTGACAGACTTGGCCCAGGCTCTTCTCCCGCTGGTGTGGGACACTCCAGCTGCCCGAGACCAGCCGCCATCTCCCACCCGCCTGCCAGCGCCTCGACCAGGGATCCCCCCAGAGGAGGAGGGGTATTGTTCAGACTCTCTTAGTGACAAGTCAGGACTCAGAATTGGCTTTCACGAGAAGAGGAATTTCTTGACGCATAAATGAGACATCTCTGCAGCAGGCAGCCACTAAGACGGTCCCCGTGACCCTGTCTTTGGTACTCGTGCCCTGGTGCAGTCCCCTCGCCCTGAAGGTGGGCTGGACTGAGATTACATCGTACCCATTCCGTCCTGGAGGTGCGTTTGTTTTCTGGCAGTCTCTTGTGTCGCGCCTGCTGGGGAAGCAGGGTGCCGTGGTGGGCTGTGCTAGGTGTCGTGAGAACCTGTCAGTCCTGCAGCCACTGAGCAACAGGGTCCAGCCCATAACCCCACGAGTGAGCTTGGGAGTCGACCCTCCCTCACTGGAGCCTTCAGATGAGACCGCAGCCCCATTCTCAGCTGGACAGCAATCTCCCGAGAGACCTTGAGCCAGAGGAACTCAGCTAAGTTGCTTTTGGATCCTTGACTCAAGGAGACTGTGAGATGATTAATGTTTGATTTTTTTGGCTGTCAAGTCTTGGGGTAATTTGTCACGCTGTGCTAGATAACACACAGACTCATGGTAAGCAGGCTTCAGGCTTGGATGAACCCAGGTGCTGGTGCGAGGATGCCAGGAATGCCCCATCTTCACCTCTGGGCCCAGCTGTGCTCTGTGGGGGCTTTGTCCTGGGGGGAGGTCTCTCCTCCTGTGATGTCGCGGGGCGGGGGCCAGAAGCTGTGGGCCCACATCTCATGCCTTGCCGACTCCCTGGCCTGCCGTGCTTGAGTGTTCACCCTGATCATCACAGTGGCCAGGAACACGTGGTGCTTGCATTGGCCAGGCCTGGGCCCTCCCACCCCTGAAGCCTTGGGTCCGACCCAGATTAAGGAGGGGATGTTTCGCCAAAGGGAGCCTGGGCCGCCTGTGAGAACAGGCAGGCCTTGTCACCGCAGCCTACCAGGGAGGGCGGGGAAGGGGCAGACTGGAATTGTCTGTCCCCGACAGGAGACGCAGAGCCCTGTGGGCAGGCAAGTGCGTCATGGCAACGATCTCCTGGCCCTGGGCTGGGAGACGCGCCCTGGAGGAAGCGAGGCCCAGCGAGGCGTGGTGGAGTGGGCGGCTGCTCTGCAGTGGCGCTCTGCGACCATCCTAGGTAAAGGGTCATTAGTGACCTTGCTGCTGACCTTCTGATTTGGACCTGGGCTGGCAATTTTTTAAAATTTTATTTTAAAAGTTAATTCTTGTTTGGGTTGATTTTTTCTGGACTTCATTATTATTTTTAATTGACACATAATACTTGTACATATTTATAGCGTGCAATGTGATATTTCGATACATGTATACAACGGGGAATGATCAAATCAAGGTAATCAGCATGTCCGTCACCTCGAATGTTTATCAAGTCTTTGTACCGGGAACATTCTCGATCTGCTCTTCTAGCTGTTTGGTAGTAGATGATAAATTGCTAGTGACAGCCGCCCCGCAGTGCTGCAGAGCACTAGACCCCATCCCTCCTAGCCGGCTGGACTTTTGTACCCATTAGCCACCCTCTGGCTCTCTGTCCCCTCCCCAGCCTCTAGTAACCACTGTTCTACTCCTTTCATCTGCCAGATCCACGGTTTTAGCTCCTACGCGCGAGAGAGAACACACAGTTATTTATCTTTCTGTGCCTGGCTTATATCACTTAACATAATGGCCTCCAAGTTCATCCATATTTGGGCTGGCAATATTAGCCTCAACCAACCACAAGGCCCCAAGCTTTAGCCCCACATCAAACCCACCCACGGGGGTCCCGTCCTTCTCATTGACACTCAGAGCTCATTGTCGACTTGGAGCCCATGAGAAAGCAGATCCTCTCATCTGACCCCTTCTTCAGAACGGCAACCTCTCAGGTTACCCGGAGGCAGGTATCACCTGGGGGGACTCGGGGGATGAGCCGGGGGTCCAGCTTAGATGTGAGGCAGATGCCCACTCCCCCGGCTCCTCGTGCATGAGTCCGAGTGGGCAAGTTATGTTGCAGAAACAAACAAGCTTCACATCCCAGCGGCTTAAAACAACAAAGATTGGGTTCCTGCCCATGCCGTGTGTCTGTTGTGACTTGGCAGAGGATTCCAGTGTCATTGTCACTCAGGGGCCTAGGTGGCAGAGCAGCCACCATCTCAGTGTCACTGGACCACATGCCAGAGAAGAGCACCCGCTGAAGGACCTCAGTGCGCAATTAAATGCTCCCGCCCAGAAGAGACTTGTGCCACTTCGGCTCACAGCTCATTGGCCAGAGCTAGTCACATGCTCCTGTCAGTCATGGGGGACAGGAAGTGCCCCCCACCCCCGACCTCCTTCGGCTTCCCCTGGGCAGTCCATCACTGTGCCAGCGTCCAGCAGGTCCTGGTCACGAGATGGCTCACTCTGGTTTATGACTGACTCCATTGGGACATGCCGACACCTTGTTACAATGAGCAGTCTCGTCTCCCAGGAGCCGGAGACGAAGTCTTCGTGGCTGGCTCTGTGCTTGGGCCTTGGGAGCTGCTCTGCCATCCCATAAGCCATGGACTTGGATAACACATGGGACTCGCCTCCCTTGGCCTCGAACCTTTCTTCCTCCTTCTGGAACTACCCGGCTTACTAACAGTGCCCTACGTCGGCCTTTTGATACTTACACACGCACAGAGAGCCACGTGGCTGTGCTTTGCATGCGTTTATGCAGAGGAAGAAATAGAACACCTGCATGCATGTTTACCGAGGAACGTGCATCTCTGCTTCATGGACAGATAGGTCGTTACAGAGGAAAGAGTACGCCCAGGGCTCTTGGAGGGACTCGTGGTTCTCTTGGAGGAAACTACTTCAGTGGTGGGAGTATGCGGCGAGAACAGAAACCAGCGCCCGTCATGAGGGTCACGGAGTGGGACATGCGCCGCTCACAGGAGCCTTGCTTTTGAGACATCATGGTACGTGTTTTATCTGGGGAGGCAGTTTAGGGCAGTGGGCTGAATGTAGATTTTGGTTTGAGGCTTCCTGGGTTCAGATCTCAATTCTTCCACTTCCTACTTATGTAGCCTGGGGCAAGCTACCTGACTTCTCTGAGCCTCAGTTTCCTGTCCAGGACTTCCCTCTTAGTCCTGAAGACTAAATGAGAGGCTGAGTGTGGTGGCTCATGCCTGTAATCCTAGCACTTTGGGAGGCAGGAGGATTGTTTGAAGCTAGGAGTTCGAGACCAGCCTGAGCGGGAGCGAGACCCCGTCTCTACAAAAAATACAAAAATTAACCTGGCGTGGTGGTGCAAACCTGTAGTCCCACCTATTTGGGTGAGGCAGGAGGATAGCTCATGTCCAGGAATTTGAGGTTGCAGTGAGCTATGATGATGCCACTGCACTCTTGCCTGGGTGACAGAGTTAGACCCTGTCTCAAAAAAAAAAGTAAATGGGTGTGTCTGCTGATGTCATGTTGCAAAGTGAGTGTGTAGCATGGTCGGTCCCCAGGCCAGCGCTGGCTCTTGGGTGTGCGTCACGACACACGGTGGGATGTGGTTCTTCCCGTGGCTTCCTCTCCGCGGTTCCTGTGGGGTGGTCTGTCTATAGCCATTCTTTTTGTGGCTCCTTTGCTATAGCAGTTTCTTTTCCTCCATTGTATTGGGTTCTGAAAATGCCTTCAAGTGGAGAAAACAGAAGGTTATCTCCGGCTTCCTCTGGGCCTACATGCCATATTGGGACTTCTGCCTTCCATGGCTGGACCCCCCCAGAACTGTGAGCTCTTTGGGGTGAGGTCCACACTGCGTTCACCTCCTGTCCAGGGTCTGCCCAGAACAGGTGCCTAATGGAAGGCAGGAACTCCTGGAAACGGGGTGGGGTGAGTGGACTCCGGGAGGCCTTAGCTGACCTCAGAGCTTTGCTTCCACATCTCACCTGAACCCTGTGCGGTGAGTGTGTGCAAACCCGCGTGGCTGAGGGTGGCTGGGGAACCTTTCCTTCTGTTCAGACAAATGGAGCCAAGTGGGACGCAGGTCCTGAGAGTGACTGGGCGTGGCGCCCAGTGCCACCTGGACCACTCCCCAGTGGATGGGGTCTGTCACCACTACACCCTGCTCAGCCCCCAACTAGTCCACCAGACGCCAACCCTTCTCCCATCTCTCCCTACCCCCTACAGTCCATGAGCCTCATCGAGATTGGGAACCCCTCTCAGAGCCTGGAGAACGTCTGCCGCTGGGCCTACCTGCAGCAGAAGCCGGACACCGGCCACGATGAATACCACGATCACGCCATCTTCCTCACACGGCAGGACTTTGGGCCTTCGGGCATGCAAGGTGAGCCTCGCCCCTGCCAGGGACATGGTGGGGAGTGGGGCCGGAGTGGAGCTGTGAGGGCCCCCAACAGCCTCAGCCCGGGAAGAGCGTCCAGGCAGGAAGGGGCTGTGGCCACCTTTGCTGGGCGAGGGTCGGGTTCAGTGCTGGGGACCTCCTGGCTCCGGAACGCCAGCAGGGGCTCTGTCATTTACCCCGGAAGCTGCATCCCCAGGGGTCCAGGGGAGATGAGAGGTGGGGAACTGGGCAGAGTCTGGGCTCGGCAGCCCAAGACCAGCCAGGGTCTGTGGCTGTGCTTCAGGGTTACTTGCTTCCTCCGGTTTCTAAAAAACAAATCGAACAAGTTGCCGACCTTTAAAAGTTTAGAGATTTCTACATAAAGATTCAAACTATGTAAAACTGACAGATCTAGAAGAAGAAACTGGCAAGTCTACAATCATAATTGAAGGCGTTAACACACTTCTTAGCGACTAACAGAACAACAGACAAGGGAATTGGTAAAGACAGAGAAGATCGGAATCGAGCAACTTGGCCTGATCGACGCCCAGAGATGGCTGCACCAGACGCCAGAGAAGCTGCACGCTACGAGTTCACGGGGCGACGCGCCATGCCAGTTACGCTGGGCCATGGGGGCTCAAGGAATGTGAAAGGTTAGAGTACGTTCCCTGACAGCACTGGAGAAGAAAGATAAGAAATTCTAAACGTTTGGAAATTAAATAGTACACTTATAAATAACCCATGGATCAAAGAAGAAATAACAGTAGAAATTAGAATATAGTTTTAAAAGGAATGAGAATGACAATATGAACTTGTAGATATAACTAACATAGTGATTAGATTGATATGTATAGCCTTAAGCGCATTTATTGGAAAAATAGGCTGAAAAGTCAATCATATATGCATATATCTCAAAAAATTTGACACAAAACAGCAAGTTAAACCCCCCAAAATTAGAAGGAAATTATAAAGATAAGCACAAAATTGTTGAAGTGAAAAACAATATAGTACAATGGAGAAAGCCAACAAAACCAAAATTTGGTTCTTTGAAAAACCCGGATTAAAATTGAAAAACTCTTAGCAAGACAAATTTTAAAAAAGAAAGAAAGAACAAAAAATTGTGAAGATATCAGTTTTGTCCAAATTTCCTAAGATCAGGAATATAAAAGGGACATCACTACACATCCTTCAGAATTTTAAAAGATAATAACAAGGTATTTTGAACAGCTTTATGTCAATATATTTGTCAATTTGAATGAAAGGTACAAATTCCTTGGAAAAACACAAAATCTGAGAAAAAATAGAAAATCCAAATAGTTTCGTATCTATTAAAGAAATTGTTTGTAATTACTATGAAAGCCTTCCTTTAAAGTAAACTCCAGGACTTGAGAACTTCACCAGATAATTCTTCCTCATGTTTAAGGAAGAAGATCAATTACACACAAACTCCCAGAAAATGAAAAGAGAAGGAACATTTTCCAACTGTTTTATGAGGCCTATATAACATCAGTACCAAAATCTGAACAGGACATCATAAGAAAAAGTTTACAGGCCAGTGTCTCTCATGAATATAGACATAAACTCCTCGCAGAATATCAGCAAATCAAATCTAGTGCTAGATTTTTTAAAAAGGTACTATAGCACAATGAATTTAAGTTTATTCTAGGAATACAAGGTTGGTTTAACATTTGAAGATCAATCATTGTAATTCATCACATTAATAGAATAAAGGAGAACATTATATGGTCATCTCAATTGATCTAGAAAAAGTATTTGACAGAAATCAAGATCCATTTATGATCAGATGTTTTATAGAACTAGGAATAGAAGAAAACTTTCTTAATATGGTAAAGGATATTTATAAAAACCCTACAATAAGCGTCATATATAACAGTGAAATGTTGGAAGCGTTTCCTCCAGACTGAGAATGTGTCCAGAATGTCTGCAGTTACCACTTCTGTTCAACATTGGAGTGGAAGTCGTAGCCAAAGAAATGAGGCAAGAAAAAGAAATGAAAATATAAGAATCAGAAAGGAAGAAATCAAACTCTCATTTGAAGTTGATATGCTTGTGTACATACAAAATCAAAAAAAAAACACTAAATAAACTATTAGAATTACTAATTAATTTGATCCTGGTTGCTGAAGATAATGTCAATATACAAAAATCAATTGAACTTGTATATTCTAAAAACAAATGGAAACTAAAATTTAGAAACTAGTACTACTTACAGTAGAATAAAAAACAGAAAATGCCTAGTAATGACTCTAACAAAATAGGTCCAAGACCTAAACCAGAATATTCTGAAACATTTTTGAGGAAATTATAAAAGACTAGGTAAAGAAAGGGATATGTCATGCTCATAGATAGGGAGACTCAGTATCGTAAAGACATTGGGCTAGATGTGGCTTATGCCCTATAATCCCAGCGCTTTGGGAGGCTGAGGCAGGAGGATCACTTGAGGCTGCGTTCGAGATCAGCCTGGACAACATAGCAACACCCCATCCCTACAAAAAAGGTTTTTTAAAATTAACCAGACATGGTGGCATGCACCTGAAATACCAGCTCCTTGGGAGTCTAAGGTAGAAGGATCGCTTAAGCCCAGAAGTTTGAGGTTCCAGTGATTTGTGATGATGCCACTGCATCCAGCCTGGGCAACAGAGCCAGACCCTGTCTCAAAAAAAAAATTGTGAAGATATCAGTTTTGTCCAAGGTGATCTATAGAGTCAATGCAGCTACACTCCAAGATGGAAACAAGACAAAAAGCTTGAAAACTGACTTCAGAGGAAATAGAGATAATTAGAGACTGGAAAAGAACATTTTAAAAGGTAATATTCCCAGGATGTTTCAGAAAGTACATCCATAAACCCAGCATAGGTTGCTATGAAGAATTAGAGAACAAGTATGAAATTAAGGACATGACGGATAAAAAATTCAAAAGCGCAGGGCATCTCTCAATTTGGAGCAAAAAAAAAAAAAGAAAGAAATGAAAGAAAAGTTAGGAGACTTAGAAGGGCAATCCAGGAGGTATAACATGTATCTAGTAAGATTCCAGAAAGACAGAACCCCAAAATAAAATAAGAGGGAAGGAAACAAAGAAAAAATAAAGATACTTTGTCAAATCATACAGGCTCATGTCATGCTAAGTAGGATGCATGAAAAATACACCCACACCAAGGCACATATTCATATGCGAGCTTTGCACACAAAGGACAAAGGGAAGATCTCAAACTTCCGCTCTGGCACACCGACTCAACAATTGTCTCAAAATCTGCAGAGCAAAATATACAGATTTTCCTGTTTATTCCAAGGGGAAAAGACAACAGTTAGATCATGGTGGTGCTGTTTTTAGAGAAAAGCGTAAAAGCCAGCGCAGCCCAGGTGCCGTGGCCCTCCTTCCTTTCTTCTCTGTGTTTCTCTTTGAGCAGATTGCTGTGGGGCATGGCAGGAGTGGGGGAGGTCAGGGCTCCGAGAGTTGGGGTGTCACGCTTGGCTGGCCTCTAGGAAGACCCTCAGGGATATAAGCAGAGGCCCCCCATTTCACCCCACTTGTCCAAGCTGCCTCCCTCTGCTGAGATTAGAACTGGGGCATGAAGCTAGATCCCATTTTCTGGTCTCCTCGGTTTTATGTGGGGTCTCAGTATCGTGACCTTCAGCCAGCCTCCCCTGACCCTGGCCTGCCACGGTCTGCTGGCCTTGCCTCCTGCAGCTGATCTGACCCCCGAGTCCCTACCCGCCACGCCCCTGCTGCGTGATTTCCCAGGTCAGTGTGGCTTATCGATTGGCTCAAAGACCCCAGAGAAACCAGGGGTACCCAGGGAAGGTGCCCAGAGGAGGTGGCTTGGAGGGCGTGATGCCAGCAGACAGGGGACCAGGCTGCCTCCCGCAGAGAGAGGGTGTGGACGAGCACAGCAGGCAGGAAGCTGCGAGGCGCAGGCGAGCCCCAGCCTGTGAGGCCCAGACTCGGAGGTGGCCCCACTACAAGCGGGGCAGTCACAGGGCTTGGGTGGTGATGGGCTAGGGGCCTGCTGCCTGGGTGGTCTTCTGAGCAGTGCCAGCTGAGGGGTCCTCGGGAGAAGCAGCACTTGGGCGTTAGGCCAGGACCCCCGCCACCCCCCGCCTGGGCTGCCTCAGGCTGGGCTCTGGGCCTGGGAGCTGGAGTCGCCTCTTGTCTCCTCCCAGGCTACGCTCCTGTCACCGGGATGTGCCACCCCGTCCGCAGCTGCACCCTGAACCATGAGGATGGCTTCTCCTCGGCGTTCGTGGTAGCCCATGAGACCGGCCACGTGTAAGTGGCCTGGCCGTCCTTGTGTCTGAGGAAGGGGGGGGCACGGACGGGCCACCCAGAATCCGTGCCTTGGGAAGGACATGCCTGTGTGACCGTCACTTGGGAGATGATGTTCTGAGCTCCCAGCACCGCACGGGGCAGGCCCAAGGCCCACTTTCTGCCGAAGGAAGAAATCAAAGGGAGGATGTGCCCGCGGCGGCAGGAGCTGGGGCCTTGCGCCCTTATCCCGCTCAAGTCACCAGCAGAGGGACTCCCACCCTGTTGTATAGAGAAGTCGCTGAGCCTCTTAGGGGGTCGCCCAGGGCTAGAGAGCTGGGTGCAGGAAGCCACGGCCCACGGGGTGCGTGTGCCCAGCACCATCTGAGCCCCTGAACCTCGGGCGGGACGCGCGTTGGTGATGGGGACCCTCGTGTGGCCACACTGCTGAGTGTGGAGTGGGTGCCGCAGACTAGAGCTGCAGGTGCCTCTGCCTCCACTGCACTCCCACTCCCAAGGAGGGAACAGTGCCTTCCTTGGGGATGGGGTACCTGGGGGGCTGCCCGCTGGGCGCCGTCTCCCCAGAGCACCCAGCTTTAAGAATGTAGCCCGTGCAGAGTGGGTACGTCCTGGCTTGGGCAGACCGGGCTACCGAGGCCAAGGGAGGCCAGCAGGAGAGGCAGGAGCACCCTCCTAGGGTCCTGGTGGGGTCGGGCTGGCAGGCCGGGGCACTGGCAGGGGCCCAGCACGCTGCCTTGTCCCTCACAGGCTGGGCATGGAGCATGACGGGCAGGGCAACCGCTGCGGCGACGAGGTGCGCCTGGGCAGCATCATGGCGCCCCTGGTGCAGGCCGCCTTCCACCGCTTCCACTGGTCGCGCTGCAGCCAGCAGGAGCTGAGCCGCTACCTGCAGTGAGTACCCGTGTCCCTGAGGGCGACCCCTCCACCCCTGGGCTCAGTGCTAGGAGGGCGCGAGTCCCCCGTGAGTCAGGGTCCAACCCGAGCCCTCAGACCCCAGGTCCTCCGGCCCGAGGTGCAGGGGAGGAGACGGGGCAGGCCTGTGAGAGGGCTCTGACCCGGGAGGGGACCCCATTGTTGGGGGCCCGGCCTTGAATGGCAAGGGAGTAAGGCAGCTACTCTGGGATCTGTGCAATATAGGGCCTGGTATCTTACACCAGGGACAAGAGATGCAGCAGGGAAACTGAGGCAGCACAGCCGAGGACTGGGGGTGCAGGCAGGCCCACTTGGCAGCTCCAGAAGGGTCCTCAGTGCCTCACAGGCTGGATGGCCAGCCTGGCTGAAGGCTGCTTGTGGTGCCCACATGTCTCCTCACAGCTCCTACGACTGCCTGCGGGACGACCCCTTCGCCCACAACTGGCCGGCGCTGCCCCAGCTCCCCGGGCTGCACTACTCCATGAACGAGCAGTGCCGCTTCGACTTCGGCCTGGGCTACATGATGTGCACTGCAGTGAGTGACGGGGAGGCAGGCTGGGGGGCAGCGCCTGGGCCAGCGGGAGAGCTGGCCCAGCCTGGGGAGGGCAGAGCAGCCCTCCGGAAGTGACGGCATCCCCCCTGCACCCACACTGCTCACCCGGTAGGCCCCCAGAGCCCACCTGGTGGGTGCAGACCTGGTCCTGGGCAGGAGGCACACAGGTGACAGGGCTGTGACCAGGGCTCAGCGAGGGACAGTGGGAGCCTGGCAAGGCCTGCGGAGGTCAGGAGGGCTTCCTGGGGAAGCAGTGGGGTGTGAAGGCTAAGTGGGGGGAGAGGGCATTCCAGAAGGGAAGGTCATGTGTGCAGAGGCCTAGCGGAGAACGCGGCATGCAGAGAAGCGCCTGCGCGCCCGGGCCGAGCTCCAGCAGGGCCCGATCGCTAACACGGAGGCAGCGCGGCCGGAGCTTTCGTGCCTGTGAGCGTCTGAGTGCTCGTCCCTCCTGTATGGAGGAAGGAAGCAAGGGAGTCCCACTTTGTAGATGAGGAAACCAAGGCCCACTGAAGTTAGGTGATGAGCCTGAGCCCACAGAGAGAGCGCGTGATGACCCCGGCACTGACACAGGGCCTGGCTCCTTTCGTGACTGCCTGAGCAGCGCAGTGGACTCGATTCTCATGGCAGTGGGTGCTCTGGAAAGGTTTGAACAGGGGAGCGGCAGGGCCAGACCTGAGTTTCAGCCAGTCCCCCAGGGAAGTCCTGGAGGAAGAATTGTCAGGGCAGGACACAGAAAGGCCACAGAAGAGGGGACTATGAGGTCCAGGGGACAGAGGACTTGGCTGGGGTGAGGCCTGTGGGAGCAGAGAGGGCTTCCCCAGGGCTTCAGGAAGGGACTCCACAGTGGGTGCTCAGCCGGTGTCCACAGGGCCCTGCAGTGACAACCCTTTGAAGTCACCAGCCACTCCTGCCCCGGCCAGAGGGTGGCCACCCAGCCCTCATGCTGGCACACTGGCTCCCAGCTGCCTGTCGAAGCTCCACGGGGTGTGCAGCCTCCCGCTGCTCCCACACTGTGTGGGCAGGGTCCTCGCCACCCCAGAATCACACAGAGCTCACAGCACCCACCCATGGCCTGTCGGGAGCCAGTCCCGCTGGGGCGTCTCAGGTTATAGAACCAGGGAGGGGGACGGGGCCCCCTGGGCAGTCCCCTGAAGTGGTAGTGGCCTGGCAAGCTGCTGGTGCTCTCTTCCAGTTCCGGACCTTTGACCCCTGTAAGCAGCTGTGGTGCAGCCACCCTGACAACCCCTACTTTTGCAAGACCAAGAAAGGCCCCCCCCTGGACGGGACCATGTGTGCACCTGGCAAGGTGAGTCAGGACTGAGGGCACCTTGAGGGCAGCAGGGCAGAGGGCAGGAACCCTGAGGTGCACAGACCACCAGGGACAGGCCCTACAGTGGGGGCGGGGTACCTTCTCAGGGGAGCCCCGCCGCCCTCTCCTTACCCTGTCTAATTACTCCCCACTCTCAACACACCAGAGCTTCTGAGACCCTGAGCAAACCTAGCAACTCAAGGCTCCCCACTGTGCTTCCAGTCCCCTACTCGGAATCCCCCCTCTGAGGAGCAGTTTCTGGGGTCCTGGCAGCCTTCTGTCATGTCCTGTGCAACGTGAGTGACTGTGGGTCACCCCACCTCGAGGCCAGCATTGGGGTTTGGTGGCTCCTGGGTCCCCAGGCCCAGCCTGAGGCTTGGCCTCTCCATTGCCAGGGCCTCAGTGTTTGTCCCTTGTTGGGCAGGCTTGTCCCTTGTGGTCACTCAATGACTGCCCCGGGCTCACTTCCCACTCTCTGGAGACCCCACAGAAAGAAGGGCTCTGTCTTCCCTGTCAGTGCCCCCAAAACCCCAGGCCTGATTCTTATTGGTTCAGATGAAATCACATGCCCACTCCTCAGCCAGTCCCTCACTAGGGGGCTGGCATATGCAGATGAGCCTGAGCCTAGCTCTTGGTCCAGGAAGCTCCACCCACTGAGGCCACACTGCCCAGTGCAGCGTGGGCAGGCACGGGGCGTGGACTCCGGTACAGTCCGTGTCTGGCCTGTGATGCCTCCACAGTCATCTGGGCCTCGGTTCCCCGGTGGGGGTCTTTGGCTTGGGACTGGGCCAGCTGTCCAATTTTAGTCCCTGGTGGAGCTTCTTAAAGATACAGACTCCCAGGCCTGCCTCTGAGAACTTTGGTTTGGGGTAGGGCTCGAGAATCGTTTTGGGTTTTTTCTTTTTTTTAATTATGATAAAATTTACATAACATAAAATTCACCATTTTAACCATTTTAAAGTGTACAATTCATTGGCGTTCAGTACGTTCACAGTACTGTGCAACCCTCTCCACTATGTAGTTCCAGAACTGTTTCATCACCGCAAAGGGAAACCCCATTAATCCCCCTCCACTCCTCCTCTCTCCTTCCCCTGCAACCACTAATCTGCTCTGTCTCTGTGGAGTTGCCTATTCTGGAATTTCATATAAATGGGGTCACGTAATATGTGGCCTTTTGTGTCTGACTTACTGCACGGAGCACAATGTCTTCGACGTTCGTCCGCGTTGTAGCGGGTGTCAGTCCTGCGTCCTTTGATGGCTGAGTGCTATTCCATCGTGTGGACAGAACACATTGTGTTCACCCATTGATGGCCATTTGGGTTGTTTCCACCGTTGGCGACTGTGAGTAGTGCTGCTGTGAACATTCGTGTATAAGGCTTTGTTTGAAGACCTGGGAATCAGTATTTTTAAGAAGTGCCACTTTATACTTTCAGCCAGGTTTAAGAAAAAAAGTTTAAAAAAAAATAAAAGAAGTGCTGCAGACTTAACGAACTGTTCGCAGTCCAAGGTGGGATGTTGTCGGGGACACGCCAGGCCGGGGAGGCCAGAACTGCCCTCTTGCCTCCTGCACAGAAGCTCAGGGAAAGGAGCAGGGGCGTGGCCGGGGGGTGCTGAGTCGGGCAGTGACACAGCTAAGCACGGCGCCCCCGCCCCGGGCAGAGGAGGGAGGTGGGCCCTGCGGGGGGGACGAGGGAGGGGAGCAGGAGGAGGCCCATGAGTGGGGGGCGGCTGGCCCACACCCCAGCTGATTGGCCCCCTTCTCCTGTGGGGTGTGGTAGGATGCTTTGTGCATTTAGCCCAGTGAATAAAATCGCCATTTTATGCCTAAAAAGCAGAGTTGTGCTGACCGAGGGGCCAAGCGGGGGCTTGCTCAGCACCACCCCCATCAGGAGGAACAAGATTGCAACTGGCCCGGATGGGCGACTGGGGGTGGGTTAGGGGAGCAGGGGAGAAGGAGGTGGGCGGCTTCTCCTGGGGGCCTGTCAGAGTCCCCGGCTGTGTGGGTCTGTTCGTGTCAAAGTCCCCTTGACTACTGCAATGCGCTTTTACGTCTGGAAAGCAATTAGTCCCTTGCCCCCCCATCCTGCAAGAAGAGCCAGAGGGGCGGGGAGAGAAGGGGAGGAGAGAGAACAGGCCAGGCTGGAGAAGTATCGGTCACCAGATAAGCGGCTGGGGGCAGGGCTGGCCCCTGCACCTCCCCAGCCCCCCACTCTCCAGCTGGGCCGTCCCAAGCGTGCTTCTCCCCTGCGGCTCCCTCAGGCCGCTCTAACGAAGCGCTACAGATGGGGGGGGGGGCTTAAACAGTAGAACTTTATTCCTCACGGTTCTGGAGGCTGGAGGTCCAAGGTCGGGCGCCGGCGGCGCGGCTGGTTTCCAGCGAGGGCCCCTTCCTGCTTTGCAGATTGCCGTCTTCTCGTAGCCTCACGTGGTGGAGAGAGATCGTCTCTTCATGTCTTTTCTTACAAGGACACTGATCCCATTGATGAGGGTCACGACCTAATTAGCTCCCAAAGACCCCGTCTCCTAATACTATCGCGCTGGGGGTTACGGCCTCACCACATCATTCTGGGGCACGCAGACATTCAGTGCACCGCGCTCCCTCACCTGGGCCCTCCTCCTGCCTGTCAGCCCTTCGTGCGCCTCTAGCTGAGGGGGACACCAGCCAGCATTCCTGTGGGTCCTCCCCGTCCCTCCATGGTCGAGTGAGGGGAGCTTGGTGGTGAGAGATGAGGTGACCGTGGCCCAGGGAGGAGATGGCCGGGATCCCCGGTGGCCTGGAGCCAGGCCCGCCTGACCCCAGGTAGCTCCCGACCACGGCTGCCAGCCACGCGCCTGCTCGCCCCGCCTGGCGGGGTGGAGCCCCGGGCAGAGGACCCGTGGAGCGGCAGCCTCTGCAGTCGTCGCGTGGCCCACGTGGCTGCAGGGGCTGGCCTGGGACTGCTTCAAAAGGCCGTGAAGGGCCGGGCGCGGTGGCTCACGCCTGTAATCCTAGCACTCTGGGAGGCCGAGGCGGGTGGATCGCTCAAGGTCAGGAGTTCGAGACCAGCCTGAGCAAGAGCGAGACCCATCTCTACTAAAAAATAGAAAGAAATGATCTGGACAACTAAAAATATTATATATAGAAAAAATTAGCCGGGCATGGTGGCGCATGCCTGTAGTCCCAGCTACTCAGGAGGCTGAGGCAGGAGGATTGCTTGAGCCCAGGAGTTTGAGGTTGCTGTGAGCTAGGATGACGCCATGGCACTCGCCCCAGGCAAGAGAGTGAGACTCTGTCTCAAAAAAAAAAAATAAACGGCCATGAAGGGTGAGGGGCCTCTGTTAGGAAGAGGAGAGATGTGGGCAAAGGGCGGAGGCAGGGCAGGGCTCTCCTGAGAGAGGACTACCAGGAGGGGTGACAGGGACACCTCAGGCATGCCCATGGGGGCACAGCTTCCCCAGAAACGGCCTCTGACACAGGGCCCTGATCGCAGGAACTTTCCAGGTGTGCTCTCAGGGCAACACCGGCCGGGAGAGCAAGGCCTTGCTCGGGCGCGGCCTCGGCGCAGGGCTTGGCCGGCCCCACGCGGGGCTCTGGAGCTGGGCTGGCCTTTCACGGTTGTCCCAACCGAAGCGCCGGAGCACTGTCTGTACCTGGCTGGGGTCAGAGAAGCGGGAGGGCAAGTAGAGGCCGGTCACGCAGGCCTTGCTGCCAGCCACAGGGCTTGTACCGTCCCGCAGCTGTGGAGGAGGGGACTGACCACGAAGCTCATGACGCTTGAGCCTTGGGGCCCTTGCAAGGCCCTGGGAGGGGCCGGGCAACCCGTTCACGTGCTCACGTTTTCATGAAGTTTGCAAAAGAGAGATATTGTAACCACAGTCAATGAAGACCACCTCTCTTTTCACTCCTGCTTGCCCTTGACACGCTTCTCCCGTGGGCTGGCGTTGGAGTGGCCGTGGGCACTTGGCAGCTTTGGCCACAGAAGTTGGAGTTGGGGCTATGTAGTGGTTTATTGACATGATTTTCAGTGTCTGCCATGTGTAAATTACGGTGTGTCTGTCCAGGTGTGAGAGTAGCTTCCAGAAATACTCACAGGGCTGCTCTGCCAACCCCCGCAGGGTCACTGCAGAGTGTGTGCCACCTGCAGCCTGTTCCCCTCAGATATTTGGGGGGAAAGGTGCTTCGGCGGTACCAGAGGCTGTGGTTACTTCTGTATCTGCAGCAGTTTGTTTTCTTCTGGGGTTCGTCTTGTAGATGGAATGCTTCAAACACAGATCCACTGTGGGTATTTCTTTAGAAAAGCGAAGTGTAACACGACAGTCTGCTTGTTTAAAAGCGGTGCCAGCCTCGCAAAACACAGATGACAAAAACGAGGGACTCTAAAATAAATTCACAAAGAACACGAATGAAAATGAGATGCAAAAATGTGGATAAAGCCTTAATGCACCACTTTAACTGCAATTTTGAAAGTCATCTTGGAATGTTTCAGTAAAACAAGGGAGACATTACAGACCCTGATTTGGAGGTATATATAGAAAGTGTCTTCTTTCGTCATTGTCAACTTTGTTTATTAAAGAAAGGAAAAAATCCTGATAAAAATTAGTGGGATGTGAAACTAAAGCAAATACAATGAGTAAAGAAATCAGTAGAAATAAATCTGACTCCAAAAAGTTCATCGTAACCAAAAAAAGGTTTCAGATCAAACCAAAAGCAGTCATTCGTTAGGCAAAAGCGACATGTCCAGGCGGTAACAGGCTCTCGGTGCATTTGACAATTCAGTTCGTGAAGAGCAGTGCGTCTGATGGACGCGTGGGAGAAACATTCACACCTCTTCCTGATTTGACGTGAAATGTTGACAACACCGAAGACCAGGAAGCTCAGAATTCTGCCCCTACACCGAGGACGTCGACAGCAGCTGTTCCTGAGCATCGCGACTCCACAGAGCGTTGAAAGTCAAGCTCTGACCGAGAAAACCTGAAGTGCCCTGAAATCCACATCAAGGAAGGAAGCTGGATAGCAG